TGATGTCCCGTGTGACGGGTGTGGTGATGTCCCGTGTGTGGTGATGTCCCGTGTGTGGTGATGTCCCGTGTGCCGTGATGTCACGGGTGACGGGTGTGGTGATGTCCCGTGTGCCGTGATGTCCCGTGTCCCGTGATGTCCCGTGTGACGGGTGTGGTGATGTCCCGTGTGCGGTGATGTGCTGCCACCTGCTGGTCATATCGGAGATGACGGTCAGTCGGTCGGCGGTGCCTCCAATTAGGGGAAGACCAGATGAGGACACAGCATGGGGGGGAGTCCAGTCGATCATCGGTGGGAGGTGCTGGAGAAACAAGTCCGATCCATGGAGGCCGATCACCTCGCAGGGACCTTTATATGTCAGCGGTTCTCGGCCTGTGCATCCTCGGGACCCGCATTGGTCCTCGGTCATTAGGAGGTGAGACGCACTGCACTGGAGCACGTGGCATTGGGGTACCGGGCAGTCCGGTGCGGGTGATTGAACGGTGGGCGGGAGGTGCGTTTCAAATGAATGGCAAGCTCCTCCCACATCAGAGCGCGTAGTAGGTGGACTGTTCCATTAACCCCTTCATGACGGGGGACGTACACTGCACCTGATCAGTGATTGGGGCCCCATAATGCTGAGAATCAGCGGTTCCCGGTCATTGATGGACGGGTCAGTATTAGACGGGGAGGGGGCGGGTACAGCTGGCTCTAGATAGGAGGAGCCAGCTGTCAGTCACGCAGCTGGGCGGATCCCGGCACAATTGTCCCGGCTGCGGCGTCTCAGTATACCGCGAGCTGTAGCCTGCCATATACTGAGCCTAGGGTGACGGGAGGACGCTAGTTTGTGTCCTCCCGTTACCCTTAGGCCCCGTTCTCACCTGCGCGTTTTACCGCGCGTTCCTACGCTCGGTAAAACGCGCAACAGGTGAAAACCCATGTTTGCCTATGGGCATGGTTCTCACCTGCGCGTTTTACCGCGCGTTCGATCGCGGCATAAAATGCCATACGCCCAAAGAAGTACATGAGCTTCTTTGGGGCGTATTGACGCCCGTATCCCGCTGTTATCAACCGGATACCCCCTCTGAAACTCGCGTTTGACGCGCGTTTATTTTACGGCAAATCGCGGTAAAACCGCGCTGTAAGAAACGCGCGGCAAACGCGAGTTTCCAATACGCTAAGGTGTGAACCCAGCCTAAGCCCTGGTTCACACCTAGGCGTCTCACATATGCGCGCCTGTCGCGCGATTTTTTAACCGCTGTCACTACGTGTGACACATTGAGGGGAATTTATCAAAACTGGAGCAGACGGAATCTGGAGCAGCTGTGCCCGGCAACCAATCAGCAACCACCTTTCATTTTCAAACCTTAACTGAACAAACTGAAGAGAGAAGCTGATTGGTTGCCGGGGGCAACTTCTCCAGTTTTGATAAATTCCCCCCATTGCAGTGAATGGCACCGTAGCCACGCCCTCCGGCCGCAATGCGATCGCCCCCGCACGGGATCACAAGGCGCGTCGTGCCTGCAGTGCGGTCCGGCGCAATCATAATGCTGCAGGCGCTGTTTTGACTGATCGCGGCCGATCTCCCCCTATGGCCGACCAGCTGATAGCCGGGTGGGGGAACCGATCGGACCGGACTGGGGGGAGGAACCGATCGGACTGGGTGGAGGAACCGATCGGACCGGACTGGGTGGAGGAACCGATCGGACTGGGTGGAGGAACCGATCGGACTGGGTGGAGGAACCGATCGGACTGGGTGGAGGATGACGCCCGTGAGACTGCCACAGAATTCAGTACCCCAAAAGTCCATAGATGACGCTTCAAGAGCCCCCCCACAGGTCATCAGTCTAGGAGGTACGTGTAAATATTGGCCCACGGTCCTTACTCTCGCTCCGGCCTGTGTAGCGAAATCATCGTTCTCATACGTAGGCGCACCCGACGCATGTCTACATGAAGACGCGCTTGCTCGCGGGGGCTTTAAAAAGATTCCCTACCGTACAAGAACTAGAGCGGGCCCTCAGCCTGGGGCCCGGTGGGGGCTGCTGTGCTCCATCCATACGTGCAATGCTTGGTCACATCTAATGACACCGCTTCTATATTCCCTCACTCACACTTCACTCTATTTAGCCACGCCCCCATCTAAAGGCTCCCAGGTATGCCCATGAGGGGGTCACACGGGAGGTACCTGGGCGGAGCCCTCCTGTCTCATCCAGCCTGGGTGGTTCCTCCAGCGGTGCTCCGCAGGGTGAGGAGCGCTCAATGTCACATGACCCCCTGTACCACCTCCCCTCACTCTCCATCACACTGCCTGAGGCCTGTAAAGTCACTTTAATGAAGATTGGTTGCTATGATGAGACACATGGACACGCCTCCTTCTTCTCCATGTGTCCGGGAAACGGTGCAGGGTCGTCACGTGGTTAGAGAGCTGTTGCGCACGCACAGGTCTTAGGGGGAATGCGGCGGCGAGAAATCACGTGACGTAGAGGAATTTAGATCGACCTACGCATGCGTATGGTCTGTTGCCGAAACGCGTGGTCACGTGTTGGGGGTGGTACCGTTACGGCCGTGTTGCGCGTGCGCCGTCCGACAGGTGGCGCGGTCACGTGGTGTCCTTGCCCAGGGACGGAGGGGAGCGCGCACGTAACGCGTCGTCGGCCGGGCGGTATTGATAC